TTTTTTTTATATTTAAAAGTGGAGAACATATAAGTTGGATCATGACCAAACTTTCAGTTGGCCTAAAAGACCATCCAAATCAATTAATTTAAAAGTCATCATCCATCAATCATCCTATAAGCCATTCTCTCTTAAAATAACAAAGGTTATCCATCTTCTAAAAAGGAGAGTTCATTTAGGGTCCATGACACCTCAATAAGTTAAATCATCATATTTAAAGTATGAACTATGCCCAATTTTAATTATTCATTTAGTGTTTGTTCATGCCACTATTTAAAAAAACAAACTCACATAAGACAGCCATAACAAAAGAATCATTGCAAATTCATATATTTACAGGCATGAGGTAGCTCGTTTACCTCTTTTCTGTTACCACCGGTCATTAAAAAGCTCCTTTTAAAATTATATGATGCAAGTTTAAGAACATGTTTCACATGATTTGGAGCATATAAATACTCTTTTAAAGCTCACTAAAAAGGGATTCCAACACTAAAATACTCTTTATATATAATCATTTCTGCCATTTTGATCAAGGATGGAATATCCTTATTCAACAAGGGACTTATCAAAGAATTGAGTATAAGACATCCTTGTTCTGCAATTGACTTCAAAGATATATTCTTATGCATCATTACCACTAACCTTTATGTTATTTTCCATGCACCGTGGCAAATTTATCACTTGGTCATATTTGCAAATGTCATATGGGATTAAGAGAAATGAAAATAAATGAGACAATTCCTCACTTTAAAATACATGCTCATCCAATAAAAAGTGCTTTGAATAATCTTCAATGAAATACCTACACCATTAAACTTTCTTATATTCGACCATGGTAGCATGGGGAACCATTGGAAGTAACCACAATAAACACCAACTTATAAATCAAAATAAACTATGATGCTAGTTTATCAAGGAGCTACTTACATTCTAGAAGAAGATATATGTTCATTCGTGTTTGTTTTGAGTTTACATGTCTAATTAAGCGTTTAACACACAATGATAGATACCATATAATGAGAGAGAGAAAACAAAAATATTTCTAGTTAAAAAACATGAAGATAATAATATAAAAATAAATTTATTTTTAAAACAATACTTTTTATCATTTTAAAATAATAAAATAAAGAGTATATATCCTTAAAAGAGGCAATATGTTTCTTTTCTTCTAAAATATCTTTATGACTACTCTTAATTCCAAGGTCTTGTTTTGGTATGACATTAGATAAGAAACATGCCTTCTGAATATTACCTTCCTATACTTTATGAAATTAAGGAGATAAAGAGTTGAAAATGGTTGTGGCTAGTTATTGGCTTGGAAATCGTTAGCCATGTGTTAGAGCTCTAGGTTTAGGGACACACCAACGAAAGCACATTACCTAGAATTCAGTAACGATGGACAGCGGAAGCCTTGTATAAGCAGAGATGAATTCGACAGGTAACGTATGATGGTTTGTGTGAGTCTTTGAGCTTGCGACTTAGCATGTATATGGGGGCTTAGATAATGGACCTTCTAAGTCAGCAACTGATGCAGCAGAAACTAGTAGTTTGGACTGTCAGGTAAACAACCATAACATGGGTGAAGTGGTAGCATCATGGAGGTAGAACGTGGGAGCATGACTGGGGTGCTTTCCAAGATGCTGAGATCATGGGATCATGAGAGAGTAACTACCCCATCACTTACTAGAAAATAGGTCACTAAGATCATGAAAAATATGGGGGAGAAAGTGCCCCACTATGTCCTGAAAAATAAGAATCATAGGTAAGCCTTGCACCTCACATATATGTATATAAATAGGTTGTAGAGCCTTGGCTATGGAGCATACGATTTCTATGCATAGCATACACATTCTTATAATGTAATCCTTTATTGACGAGATAAATAAAGGTTAAGAGTTATTCTTGTAAAGTTTGGTGTGGTTGCTTATGTTTGTTCTTTGTTTACAACGAGGCAATTGTAAGAACCTCTTTGGGTGAGTGAAATACATAGTCATAGGAAAACACGAGTGAAAAGATGAGGCAAGATTTAGTCTAGATGGGACTAGACTGCTGCATTGGGTTGGATTTTTCGATGTGAAAAATTTAACCCTGTGATAATTGGTATCAGAACGCGATTAATTCTACAAACATGCAGCCAAACTCATAGAAGCTATTTGGGGATGGTTGATATGTCTTGAGTGTTAAATAAGGAAGGAGAAGAACGTTCTATTATTGATCGCTTGAAGGAAGCTATGGAAAGCATCGAAAGCGCTAAGAGTTTGTATATTTCTTTTACGGCAGAATCAAGCGAAAGATTATAAGCTACCAAAAAGATGATTGCCATTCTAAAAAAGACAGTGACAAACGCTCCTATTAGGGTAAGTACATCTAAGCCTAAAGCCCCTGAACTACAGTGTTTCGGTAGGGTAAGAAGTTCTAAAGAACTTGAAAATTTCTTGTGGGACATGGAGCAATACTTTAGCATTGTGAAGATCGACATGGCTAAATAAGTGGATCTCAC